ACAAATTAATTTGTTATCGTTATGTGAACTGAACTTGGCATTATTTTTGTAAAATCATCGAAAAGAACTTGCTAAACGATAAAACAACATTACAACATTGGTATCGGAAGTGGGCTTATTTTGGTGAAAATAAAATAGAACTTTCACTAAATTTCAAACTTAAAGATAGTAACTTAGATAAAACATTTGTTAGAAATGAGGAACTGTGAAAGAAAACAAAACATAGACAGAAAAGTAAAAGATAATTATGAAAAATGACGTGTAAAACCAAAAGAAAATAAATAATAAGCGAAAGCAAATAATAATATATCAAACATACTATATAATGGCCATTATTAGTCTTAAAGTGGGTTCCTCGTCATCGAATTTGAAACACTATATATGCCATAACCAACTCTAGTGAGGCCTTTCGCCTCATAGCAAGGATTATTAGGCTGGCTGGAATATGACAGAAAAAGTAATGGTGTAAGTGCTAGTTATAATATCAACTTTCATGAACAAGGGCTGTTATGGTGTAAGATAAATTAAGAAATCGATTGTAATTATCCTCAAATTTACTTAAGTCATTTACTAATCAAATTTTTGGGGTAAGGTTAAATAACATAATATTAGTTATTTATTTTATTTTTAACATCAATTATTTATGCTCTACTAGAGAAAGAAAATTAAAAGAAGTATACAGAAATTTGAAGAAGACCAAGAACAAATTTATAAAAAATTAAAAGATCAATAGTTCAGAGACGGGAATTTACGAGAGGAATTAAAAGAAAGAAACATTAGATCTAATACAAAATTGAAAACAAAAGAAATCTGATTGAAGATAAAATCCACGAAGCTATTGGGGATATATAGAAGGATTATAATATGTTTCAAAAAGTGCGGAGAGACGTCATTATTGTTTAGAATGGCTGTAATGACAAAACTGAAGACAACAACGAGGTTCCGAAAGACCGTAATATTAAAATTGAAGAAGTACAAAAATGAATAATTGACATAAAAAACATTTGGAAGGTGAATTGATAAACGCCAAGATCAGAACAGCTATAGATCTTTCTGTGTCTGCCAAAGAGTTATACCTATAATATCATTTAGTATAAAATATGGAATAAGAAAACTATTTGATCTATACTTGTTACTACTACTGCTGTACTATCTGTAACTGCAGGACCTTCCTGGACTTCTCCAGTTATATCACAATCAAATACAGTTCCAGAATTTAGGTGGCCAGTACAACAACATCACCCAATCAAGACATCAATGGACTATGATGGAAATGTACCATGGGAGGTATACCAATCTCAATTCAAAATAATTTACAGAGAGAATGATGAAATACTAAACTACAAGATGCACATCTTGGTGCCGCTTTAAAAGGACCATCTTTAACGACATTAAGTTACCTATTGTAGCTGCCTTATTCAACAGATTCGGAGTGATACACGAAAAGGAAGTACCCAGAGCAAAGTTTATTAAACAGGGTATGGAGGAAAGAAGACACCTTAGCCGAATATGTAGAAGACTTGGAAAGACTTGCCAAATTATCTCACTCGGATTCTATACGTGAAATGATGGATTAATTGACATGCAACCAATCTATATATGCCATAACAGACATGGATATGATAATTAGCTTGAAGCAAAGTCGGTGTACATCTTTAAACGAAGCTCTGCAGTTGGCATTGGAACTTGAATCCATTAAAGTTTCGGATAAACAACTAAAAATATCATCCTAAAATTCCTGCATTGATAATGAAAGATGAGAAATTATCTCCAATGGCGAAGAAAGAAGATAGATTCATGTAAAGAGAAAGTGTACATAAAGTTCCAGCAAGAGGAAAGATTAAAGTGTCCCTTATTATAAAAAATTCCTCTACACCTCATGATGTGTTGGTTATTGACATTGAGGAAGAGTTTATATTGGGAACTAATTTCACGTGGAGGCATGGGTGAGAGGTTAGGCTAGCTTCACACATATTCACCGTTTATGAACAGGAAGTTCCTGTGAACTACATGACACTTACTATATCACAAATTAAACTTCCAGTGATAGAAAGTAGGGTAGTTATTGTACCACCAAGAAGTAAATTACTTATACCAGCACTAATTAGGAAAACTTCCATCCACTGACTAGACTATAGTAGAACATATGTGGTTCACAGGATCGAGAGTGACAGACAATCCAAGCCAAAGGTCAACCATCAGGATCATCTTTGGAAATACATGAGTGAGAGAATGGTTAAATAGATAACTCCAGAGAATAATTTATCAGCGAAAAGTCAACCTGTTGAGTTCCCCAAGGTACTTGTCGACAATACTTCCAAATAATCAACAGTAATAAGGCATCAGTGGATTCGCTCTATTCAGGGAGAACTCCCAAGTGACAGGACAGCAAACAAGGAATAAGAAGCCATTCCATCTGTATACAGTAACCCTCAGGAAAGAAATCCAGCAAAACGACTTGAATATTGGAAAATTTATTATAGTATTCTAATTTTCCGTTTTGGAATTGTACATTGAACTTCACAATCCAGGAAATAATAGTGCTGTACGTTGTATATTAATATAGATGTTTGATAGAATGAGCTTGTCATTACAGTGATGTTAAGAATTTAGTAATTTCAGGTAGTATCTAGAGACAAGTGTACCTTGTTTAAAAATACGAATAATCAGTAAGTGAAAGGAATGATTAATCGATGGGTGATTCAATTCTATGTCAGAAAAGTTATTGGGTGGGAATTATTCTGTATATTCAGTTAATCGATCGATTAGTAAGGAAACTGTGTACGTTTTTTATTTGTAAGTTAGGTGTATTTATCATTAGTCTCGGAATTGCCATTGCAACATTGTGTCAAAGTGAATGTAGCCTATATAAACATTATATAAGAAATATGCCAATTTATTATCATTACAGGGAATGGTCTTAGTATTATTTTTACCAAACAACCGAAAAAACTAATGTTAGGTTTTGTGACTTACTCATGGAAAGTAAAATCATAATATGATCACTTGGTCATTCAAAACATAATGTATTTACATAAATATATTGTTTTAAAGTAAGCTTGATTCAGAAATAGGTTTGGTTGATACATATCAAATTATTTTCAGACTTTTCAGATTTTGCCGAATGTTTAGTTTCAATATTAATTATGAACAAAGAAGTTGTTGTAACCGAATTTTAGATTCACTACATTTAGTTGTATGAAAGCTTCACGGTTTAGACTTATAGTAGGATACTTCCAAGTTCGAGGCTGGCTCTTGTTGTGCTGTTGTGTCCTTGAATAAGACATTTTATCCCAATTGTTTCAGTTTATCTAGTTGTCTGATGGGGTGCCAACTGTTAGTTGAGGATTTGTTTGAAATGGACTGGCATTCCATCCAGGGAGAATATGTTACCATTCTTATCTGCTTCTGGAACTTAAAGCTGAAATCCAACACTGAATCTTATGTGCCATCTCAAAATGGTAAGGATTTAAATTTGACATTGGTTGTAATTTTAAAACATGACATTTGCGAGGAATATACGATTGCAATTCTGGATTTTTTCGTGAAGTTAGGAATGATGTTACTTGTTTATTTAGACTACGTTTAATTTGTATCAGAAAGTAGGCTGGATTTCTGTACATAAACGTTTCAAAACCTTCAATGTTAGAAGACTTCATGCTCCTTGCAAAGTAGTTGGCTTAATTTAGGCTACTGGTGTAAGGTTTTAATACAGTTTTAAATCTCTTCTTTCACAATGGACAATCAGACAATGACAGAACTAATGGAACTGAACCGACATAGTCAGGGACATGACCAAGATAGCTAGCAGGATATGCTTTGTTTCATACGAAGCTATACCGATTGTACATTTCATAATCCTTTAAATAAATGTGTTCTGGTGTCATGGTGTTGAATGTATTCACCGTGAATAATGTAAGGAGCTGCACGCACGCATTACATCTGGTTCCAAGTAACTCTTTCCAAGAAAGATCAATTCATAAACTGTTTGGTCTTGATGTCTTATCCTATAACAGTTTGGGTTAACTAAACTTAACTTGAAGTTTGCAATTATGGCTTGTTCATGGTACCATAATCATTTGAGATGCTTGAAAATTTGTTACATCTATGTGAGGACTACAGTGAACCAACTTCAAACCTGAATATCACAGATATACTGGGTTCGTTCTGCTCTATCACATTGGTGATATAAATTGTCCCATATTGCTTAATCACTGCTCTATGCTTTTTTGCTCGAGTTTTGAGATATCTTTATTGAGATTTGTTCTCTTCTGCTTGATCTCACTTTTCCCTTTTTATTACATTTTTTGGACTCACTGTTTGATCTACCGACTTAAATTATTTCTTTCCTGTCTTGATCTTCTTCTGCTATCTTCCATTTGGTTTTATTGTGAGTTCTAAATTTACTATTCTGACTCGTTTGTTCAATTTCTTACTGCTCTCTTCCATTCACTTGCTATGGTTTTGGACTAAATTCAAAATTGAAAACCTTTAGACCGATTTGGTTTTCAAGATGGCTCTTTCTTGGTTATATTCATTTATATGAGGTTGTGGTCAATGGTCATTAAAGGCAATGACTTCCATTTCACCTCAAGGAATGTCGCAAGTGCAACAGGAGTGAGAAATATACGTGAAACAGTCTCCTTATTTTTTTGCTATTCTCATGGGAGCATCCTTATTAGCTACAATGCAGTTGATATTTTGCAAAACCTCCTCTAACCATCTTCCACTCATATTTAGGCCAGTGTTTTCCCGCATAATGAGGCATGAGTACCATCATTAACCTTTAAAACTAAAAAAAGAAAGAAATGATTATTGAAAACAAGTTAATGTTTACTTACTATAAACGTAATATCTTGTAACGCAGAAATTTGATTTAGCAAAGATTTGGTTTTCCATTTTAATAGAATTTAATAAACATTTTTAGAATAACGTCAACGTGCCTATAAGTCTGAAAAACTGACGATGATTGTGTCAATATCTAAGACTGTTTATTTATTGACAGGAGAATCTTCCAGAGCATCAGCCATCTTATATGTTGATTTGACGATAATAATTCGTAAGCCTAACGAGAATTTGGTGTGATTGATTATTTGTGAACTCAAAAAGTAAGTGTATGTTTTTGCGTTAAAAAAACAACATCAGTTGCTATACTTTCAATGAAATTATCGGAGTTTATTACAAAGTAAGCACTAATTTTATAGCAATTTAGGCATGTATTAAATAAGGCCTAACGTGAACCTGGGGTACATTTTGAGTTTTGTTGAGTCTAATTTAGTCTAAAGTCTTAACTTCTAAATTAAGTCTAGACTTAAGCTCTACTTTAAAAAAAGTTTAATTTAATAAACGAGGGTTTAATCTTTTCAACTATCGATTTATGATAATTGTAGCATTATTACTTTAAGGTAACCCTTATTTTAAGACAATTATTATTAATTTTTATTTTTCAAAAGTTTGCAAATATTTCAAAAATTAAAACTATATAAAAGTTACAATTTACAATATTAACAATTATAATTATATTGTACTACAAGTGTAACACTAACACTCACAGTAACACTGTAACTTGTAAGATTAGACAAATTTTATGTATTAAGTTTGACCTAAGCTCAAACAAGATAAATTTAATTCTAGTGTTTTGTTTATGTGTGATTAGTTTTTGTGTTGATTTTAACGTATAATATTAATAATGAAATTAATAATTATTTACTTAGCTATATTTATGTAAAATTATTAGTAGTTGTTGATCAAACTTGAGATGTATAAAACCAAAGTAATTTCCATACATAACTAAAGATAATTATATGCCCATTAGTTTCAATAGTGTGTTACTATGTTAGTTCCATAGGTAATAATTTTACACCTGTAAACTAGGCTTGATTTTGAGGTTTAGCAATTTATTTATAACCATTCAGTACTTGAACAACACTTGCGTATAAAATTAAAAATACATATTATAGGAATATTTTATGCATTTCATTAGTTTTTTCTTATTTTAAAGGTGGTGAAATTTAGTACCTTTTGTTTTAAATATGGATAAGTGAAAACACTTTTATAAGCTTCTGCTTCAAAAATTGTAATAGAGTATGCAATTTGAATCATTATTTTTTAAGTTTATGATATCTTAGTTTAACTGGAGAACCATTTAATAAAAGTAGTATAAATTAACATATTAAATTGAATGATCAGTGAACGTTTTTAACAGAATTTTATCGTATTTTGTATATCAAGTAAACCTAGGAATATAAAGAAACAATATAATGTAAGTGGCTCATCATGACTTTAAATAGTAAAAAAGGAATAAGGATATTAATATATTTTTGTATACCGTACAGTTTATAGATGAACACAAAACACATTACTCCAAAAACTGATTGTGAGAAAGCTTTGAACAATAGTGAAAAGTGAGTGGTAGGAATCATATGAGGAATGTAAAGAAAAAATGCCAAAGGATTGTTAATCTTAAGTCATGAGACTAAATGGATTTAAAAAAAATTGTATGAAAAATATAAAAAAAAAACGTGATGAAAAAGAATGAGTAGAAAAGGCCATGCCAGAAAAAGGAGTTTTAAAATTTCTAGAACTTTCATGTACATGTTTCTTTAAAAAGTAATGTGAAATGTACACAAGGGTCTGAACATAAGTCAACTTACTATTGTCAGTGGTTAAAATTTCAAAAAAATTAATTTTCCCCATGGGAAAGTAACTTTTTTGGTTCACTTTCCCCTCACATTTCAGTGATTTTCCTCAAAAAACATGATTGTGGGAAATCACCTAATAAAATTGAATTCCCTTGCACTGAATAGATTTTCCACTATTTTGACCCAATAGTAACATATAAATCTGGTAAAATTATAACATTATTTATTTATATTTGCCTTGAAATGAAAACAAACTTAAACAATTATCCCAAGATTACCACACATTTTGAATTGCGACCCATATGCATATCCAAACTGCATATATTTATCTTTTCACAAGAAAAAAAGGACAAATTTTTGAACAACATACAGGCCAGGAAATTCATCATTTTTAAAGCAAGGTCATTTGGCTTTTGGATTTTCTCTCATTTTTAAGGACACTAAGGCTAAAAAAAATTCACTGGAGGCACTAAAGCCCCAGTACACATCAATGTTAATGGAATAGAAATGAGTTTCTCAATTAGTTTAGTAAATATGGCATTAATTTTTTTCATTGGGGCTTGGGAAGCTGGCCTATCCTTCCAGGTTGTTTATCAGGTAGGTAAGTATTAACTTTAACGAATGATAATTATGAGGTAACAGTATATCAGCTTTAAGATAATAAAAAATGTATTTTTGAACTGCTCTTTTATAACAGGAACATCAACAAAATAGAGCTTTTGACTTGAAATAACAAAATACTACTACCAGTATTTTTTTTGCATAATTTCTATTAGTACTTAGTATTTTGTGTTAACCTATTTCACTAACAGTAATTATTGTAGCAGAACACTTTATAAGAAGAAAATTTAAAACTTACAATCAGAATATTTAGTTGAGTAAAATATACCTATTCCAAAACTTTCACTGGTATTTAAATGGTATCTTCATATGTTGAAAATACTTTGTGTGAAAGCAAAATAAAAAACTTAATTCTGGGGTAGAATGTGAATGTTTTCTGTAAATTTGTTTTGGTCAAAATAATGTTTTTTGTTTTTTTGGAATTTTGCTAAGGTATTAAAATACAAATATTACTTGACATCATTGCTAAATACATGCAGAAACTTACATTTCACAATCACAAGCTTTCATGCAATACTGCACCTATGATTGCATGTTGGGTAATTTACAAGTATGCTGGAAAAGAAACTCATGCTAAGTGTGACACTATAACTTTTAAACTTAGTTTATTTTGAAATGTTAGTTTATATTGGATGCTTATAGAAGAATGATGAATATTTATAAAATCAAGTATGCATATTTTATATTCACTTCTCAGATAATTCCTGCACAATGCAAACCATGGTAGCTTTGTTTTTGCTTCTTACAAATTTAATTTTCAATCATGTTTCCAGTGAATAATAAAAGTGAGTAACAGTTTAATTTGGCAAATAAAGTTCTTAAGGGCCAAAACAAGAGTTATTCTACTATTTCAAAAGTTGAAAGTATGTATAGTCTGTTAATTTAGTCATTTTTGTTTTAAGCTTCTCTATTTTGTTATGATAAGTTATAATGGTATTGCTGACTTAGTATCCAATTAAATTTGAAATATATCCAACAGGTTTCGAAATCAAATATGGTTGGGAGACAAAGTAGGTATAGACGAGGGAGAGGAGGGAGAAGAATAAGAGGAAGAGGAAGGGGAGGTAGTCAGAGGGGAAGGTATGCTTTCCGTAACAGAATTTTCACAAGGAAAGCTAAGTCACCTTCACCATCAGAAGATGTTTTTATTATTCTGTCAGATATAGAAAACATGGACGATGGCAGCGAGCAGGAAGATACAAAATTATCATTCATTTATACTGATAAACATTCTGATGAAGATGAACCGTATGTTCTTGCTTCTAAAGGTGAAAATAAAAAGAGTACTCATACCAAAGAAGGAAAAATTATTAGTACAAAACCTTCTGACAGTAGCTCACAGTCAGTTTTAAGTGCAGCAGACACAGAACATATGAGTGTCAAAGCAGTAATGACTAAAAGATCAGGTGAAACAGCAAACACGACTATGGATATAAATACCTCTGAATTGCAGCCAACAAGCAGTAAATCGTCATTACAGTCAGCAATGCTTGCTGGAGAAAGTAAATTAGAGGAAAAAGATGAAAGCTGTAGTAAAATAATGAAAGAAAAAAACTCGGGTGAAGTACTTCAAATGTCAAATGATAAAAATACTGATGATACGAAAAATAAAAATATAATCAATACTCCAGATAAAGATATAAATGCCAGTGGTCTTGAACAAAATCTTGATGATTTGTGTAAACTTGAGTACATTGATTCAGATGAAGAATTTGTAGAACTAGAGGACATGAGCTTAGTTGAATTAATAGGGGAAAAGTGGCAAGTATTGGACTTTGACAATAGCATTGAAGACATATCTGAAAAAATGGAGTTATGGCCAAAACAGGTAATGTTTTGTTCGCTTGGTTTTATATATATTTATATAGTTGTTGCTTAAATATTCATTAGTAGCTAAATATATTTAAGTTTTTTGTACTTTATTCTAAGAATGCTATTATAATCTGTACTAATATTTTTTTCTTATGAAAAATTGAAGACCTTAAAGTACTTGCCCACTTTGAAATGCACTGCAAACAAATAGTCTTTGAAATCATTTATTTACCAACAGATGTTCACAGAGGTACATTAACTTTAGATTACACATGTTGAATGTGAAATTTGCAGAACCAGGGGAAGTGATGAGTTTTATATATAAATATATATATATATTTCAGTGTTTTAAAACAGTTGGAATAAGGCAAAAAGGAAGATTGTGCATGGTTTAATTTATCTTATTAAAACTTATTATACTAAGCACATAATGCTTTTCTTTTTTTCCTAGTATAGAGGATAATTCTTCTCAGCTTTGAGTATTAGTGTCATTTCAATATATTCTTCCTGTATGAATATTTGAACATCTGAAGTAGTTGAAAAAGTAGGGTATTTATTGAATTCCATTTTTTAGCTCAAATTATTTTCTCTTTTAGTTGTTTCTTGTGTTTTTGTAAAAACTTAAGTTTTGCATGCATTTAGGTAAGTCATGTTTCATTTATGAAATAATGAATTTTGATGCTCATTTTGCAAGATAAAATTGTCTGATGCTTGTAGGAGCCAGTGAAGAAAGAAATGTATGAAAAGACCAAACTTGGTGGTAAGCTAACTTTTAATAATTTTCTCATATAACAAATATTTCTTTTTTTTTGGATATTCATAATAAATTGATTACATTTGTATCATGCTCATATTTACATTTTATTGTATGATCACACAGTGTATTTTAATCAGAGTGTTAGTACCATAAATTGCTTTGATGTTGAAAACTACAAATTCTTAAAAATATAAAAGAGAAAATTGGCAGAATTCCATTGAGACCAACACTCCACCTATAAATACACAGCCAATAAGTAACTTTTTGTATCCTTAAATCTGTCCACCAAGAATTTAAACAAATTTATAGTTGTAACACAACATATCATATAAGCCATTTCAGAGGCTTATAGCTTTTAAAGTGAGGTAACTCTTAACAAAGAAAAATTTTGGATATGCAGTACAAGAATTCATTCATACTTGTTAACTGTAATCTTAAATTTATATTTCTAACCTTACAGACAACCCATTTTATTTATAATTGATGGAATCAGTTGACACAATATTAACAAAATATTGAAGGCCTTTCATTACCTGCTATACAGGCTCAACCAAGTAGATATAATGTTATATATTCAAAGGTTGCTAGCATTTATAAAAAAAATTCTATATTTTGAATTTATGGTATTTCAATATTTGTGATGATTAATGAGATACATTTATAAGTTCAGCAGCCATACAAGTACCAGCAAACTGCAAAAATGCCAACCATTTCTTTAATGTATCTTAGTTCATGTAGAAGTTAAACAGTTAGCATTTACGCAATCTTCCAAAACAACATTTACAAATATTTATTATTCACGACTGTTACAATGATTTTGTAACGTTGAAAAGAAAAAAGTTGTATTCCCAAAAAAATGGTATCGATTAAATGAAGAGTAAAGCCCGTGACTTTATGATAAATACGTTAAATCTTGAAACATGCATTTTCAGCAGAAATCTTAAAGTGCTTAATGGTTATTGATTATTAAAGCATTGTCTGTAAATGTACTCGTTTTTTCATACACTTGAAATACCTCTTAAGCAAGAATAGCATACTTATCACACTGATAAAGGCTGCTGCTGAATAGAATATCCAGAAAGACTTCATTTACATGGCATGTGGTTACCAATGCAGATGCTACAAGGGGGAAGTTATTTTGTGATGAAGAAAAACATTTTATGATCAATACTTAACTGTTATTTTGAAAAAAATGCATCAACTGACACAAAAAAATTAAATGAATAAACAATACTAATTTCTAAGCATAAGAATTGTACTTATTAGCATTCTAATCCACCATAAGTTCCCCCCAGTAGTGAGTACCTTTTGGAAGTTAACAGTTAAAGCACTGTGAACTCCCTTCTCAAAAGTTTCAAGTTTGACAAATTCTACTGTATGATTAGAGTAATTTAAGAGTAAAATGCTGAATGGTATTGACTAACTGTCTTCCCTCTAGACTGTCAGTTCAAAAGTAGAGACGGTTTTGCATGAATGTATGAAACAAACTTTTTATACTGAGTACGTATATGTAAGATGTGCTAGTCTGTCATGCCTAAAAGTGCACAGATGTTTTAAACAGGCTAGTATGAGTTTAGTTTTGAACAGTTCAATTTTGACTTGTTCCAGGATATAACTTTTATTAAATTAAAAAAAAACGTATATATGCCAGTTCTGATCTTTTTTAACCATTAGCATATTGAAGTGGAAATACTTTTTAACAGTTGGTATTTATTTTCACAGTCGATCAGTCATGTAAGTAAATTTAACATGTGCAATCTATTTAATCAGGGCTAGCCATTAACATTAGCCCAGTAGCATGGGATAAGTAAGAAATGCATTTGGACTAGTTGCCAACATGACATACTAGTCTGATTGGGATAATGGCTTGATGTTGAGCATGCGTTATATTTTATGTTTTGATATAATCAGACATTTAATTTATTCTATTTATTAAAGAGATTATTGTTTGTTAATTATTTGCAAACTTGTATTTTAACCTTTTTTAAAAGTTTTATAACCTGACAAATCTTGAAAAAAAAAAATATGGTGTGTAAATATTTGAACTTGTGTTTTAAGGTGTATGATCATGTTGAAGCCTTAATTGTAAATAATTCAATTAAAATTTTGTTCTTCGATTTTACTTTCTGACTTCTGAAACAATAATAACTTTGTGATTGGTCTTCATTGCACATTTTAATTTTTCTAGGGCTTGTGCATTGTATTGTAACTTAAAATTATAACATCTAATAACTTGTACCAAAGAGTTTAAACTCTAGTAAAGATTAAGTGTGGTGACTTATTTAGCAACTGGAAAATTGTTGTACCTTTAATGACTTCCATGAAAATGTTAACAGTTTTGGGTTTTACAATATTTGCAAATTTATTCTTGAAAGTATACATATAATACAAGAACAAATCTTCATGTTTTTGTGTTTATATTGTTTTGTTAGCAAAAGCATTTCTGTGTGACTAGCCCTGGGCTAGTGACCTGTTATAGTCACTGTCTATTGGCTTAAAAGTTGTGCTTTTTTATTATTCACAATACTCAATTGACATTTCCAGGTTTATTTTGTGGATTTTCTCATGTTGAACACAACTTGAGAAGGAATAAGGCAGCTTTAGTTGGTGAGTGTTCAGTTTTAATTTACAAAAAAAAATAAGTTAAATAAATGCATTTGTATTTTGCTTTATTGTGTGTTTAGAATATAAGTCTAAAAATATTTCTTTGTTATATTAGAAATAATTGAAACACTGCCGTAACTTGGAACAAACCTGGCTGTTATTTTTATACATTTTGTATATAAGTATATTTTACATATATATTGTTACTGTGACAAGGTTTTACTTATGCGTAAGATAGAATTTTCTTTTAACACTTTCACATTAAGTAAATTAGTTGCAAGATCAGTAAGAATCATTTTATACAAGATTGAAACTAGATCAGCTAGTAATTAGCAAATGTGAATAAGCTCTGATAGGTATCATATAAAACTGATTGATATATCAACAAATATTAGATCTTTTATTCTCCTTACTCTATTTATTTTTCCTTGTTTTACTTCTTATGTGTAACCTTATACATACATACATACATTTATATATATATATATATGAAAAAATTAGATGTTTAGAGAAAAATCACCTTTAAAAACTATGCTGGTAATTTATTTACTTGGTGACATTCTGAGCAAACACCCTTTTTCAAGTGGCTGGAACAAGTGGGTTTATGCAGTAATTCTCAATTATACATACCCATGTTTATTTTTGAGCTCCATTTATGATTTGACAAAACCTGCATGTATGTTTTTGATCCCACATTGAATATATGCCAAGAAAGAGAATCATGAAGAGTCCAGAAAGCAGAGATGAAAGTCTTCCGGATATATCCGGAAATCCGGATATTTCTAAAAAATCCTGAAAACCTCTGGTTTTCTTCCGGAGAAACACATTTTTTAAAATTATTTATCGGATTTTGGTGTTTCATGCCATAGATAAGCGTTTATGCAATCGCGCGGTTTGTTTACATTCGGCAACAGGGCGCCGCCATTTTGTAGTCTCGCAATGCTTGCTGGCGTGTGCGAGACCTTGTATGCTTATAATGCAAACTTCGTGTCATGTGAACAAGACATGGATAAATATAGTGAATGGTCATGTTGGAAGGATAAACATTTACATACTTGTAAGTATTTAGATATTTATTAATTTCTGTATATGTATTATTGTATTTCACAGGTCTAGAGTACATTGTTGAAGTGTGGAAGATACGGTGGAGAAAATTCTGTTATTTTGAGTGTGTACTATGCAATAGACTTTTAAACCAGAAAACAATGATTGAACACGTTACTAGCCGAGCTCATAGGATTTCATATCTGGTAAGTGCAAGAAAAAATATATTTATTCCCTGTATTTTTCATTCATAATTTTATTTCCAACTTCTATTTCCTGGTTAAATGGGATTCTAAAAATAATTTCTTGTTTGAAAGTATCATAGCAAAAAAAAAAAAAAAAAAAA